CTGCTGAGAAGCAAGTGGTTGGTGATGGTTTTTCTGCCACCTTTTCTATGGGTACTTTGTCATAGCTCCTGACTGTTTCCCAGTGCTGATGCAGGAACTTGTAGAGACTTTCTGGATTGACAGCGGAGCTTTTCCTGTGCCTGTGTTCTTTGAAGTTAAATAGAAAAATGTTTATTGCCTTAATTATCAAACTGAATTCGGTGTTAAAGATGTGGATCATGGTGGAATCGTAAGTTGCTTCAGGATGGCCCTTGTTCCTCTCTGCATGTCTCTTCTGTTTTCAGTCTCACTTATTTCTAGCCCTGGTGTTGAATTCATTCCTCTATTACTACTCTTTCCTCTTTTATTTCTTTGCTTACCTTCATTACTTATAATCTTACCACTTGCTGTCAAGAAAGACAAGTAGAAACTTGCAAATTGAGAGCTTTTGCCTTTCTCATTTGTACAAAAAATGTTGCTTTGGAGTCATGAGAATACTCTAAAATTCAATGTTCTTTACTTCTATTCCCACATGGATGTTTTTGATCCATCATCTATAACTTCAGTCATCTCTCTCTGGAGCTTTTCTTCTTGTCTCGTTGCCTGTATTAGCATTCTTTTATCTTTTAGTCAGGATTTTTTATTATATTTAATTTTTTTAAACTTAAAGCTTCCATTCAGAGGGGAACTTCTGATCTTTTTTATTACTGTACCTCTGATCCACTTGGTCAAATTCAACCTAGAAACTTTTTGTTGATGTTAATTTGTGTTACTGCTATCCAACACATTATGGACCCAACCTACCAGTTCCATTTCAGATGTACAATTTGGTGAAGTCTCTGTGTTGAAGTCACTTTTCTCCTGTGCTGAAAGTAGGCTGCATCTGACATGGAGAGATTTCTCAATGCTCCTGTTGCAGTCCATGGTCATAAAAGCACAGAATCAACCGGGTTGGAAAAGACCTCCAGGATCATCAGTTACAACCCTACCATGGTTACTAGACCATGGCACTAAGTGCCACGTCCAGTCTCAGCTTAAAAACCTCCAGGAACAGTGAATCCACCACCTCCCTGGGCAGCCCATTCTAATGCCTTGTAACTCTCTCCATAAAAATAATCTCTTCCTAATATCCAACCTAAACCTCCCCTGGCAGAGCTTGAGTCTGTGCCCTCTTGTCCTCATACTGGTTGCCTGCGAGAAGAGACCAACCCCCACCTGACTCCAACCTCCTTTCAGGTAGTTGTAGAGGGTGATAAGGTCTCCCCTGAGCCTCCTCCAGGCTAAACAGCCCCAGGTCCCTCAGCCTCTCCTCACAGGACATATGATAAATATTTCTCCTTTCAGGAGGAGACTTAGGACTGAAGATCTGTAGTGCAATGGAACGAAATCTTCGGGGATTGTGTCTTTAGTCCCTTTGGGTTCACTGTCGTGCTTTGCTAGGATTCATTCTTTGCAAATGTCAGGCCTTTGGAGTTGTCTGTGCTGCCTTCCCTTACAAGCTTTATTTTTTTAATTGAAGAATTAGAAAAAGAAGTATCACCACTTGAAAGATACCGTTATATAAATTACTGCATGTGTTCTATTTGTTCTGTTAGCTGAGTAAAGTGCAGGAGTTTAATTCCTTTGGTGATTTTCCGGGGGGGGGTAGAACAGTAGTAGGAGTGGACTGAGCTCTGTGGGAAGGAATGCTGCTTCATTACGTGCTGAGATAATAAATGCATGCGTTTAATTCTTCCTCAAGACCTTCCAGTTTGTTTTAAACTTTGCATTTATTTTCTCTGACATTATGAATGCCTTTTGGTTGGTTTTTCCCCCATAGTTCCTGGTTTGGCTGGGAAGACATTGATTTTTCCAGTGAATTTCAATGCCCCAGGTGTGGTGTGGGAGATTAGGAATGAGTGTATTCTATGAAATCTATTGTACTTGTTGATTTCGCCTTAAACAACATTTGTAGATGGTGGAGTTACTTTAGGAATGGTTCTGCTCCATGAAGCTGCTACTTCTGACATGGATGTGGGGAAAAGAAAAAGTGAGTGCTACCTTTTCTCTCTAAGGGAAGGCATATTCAGTAAAGGTGTCAGATACACTATTTCATAGAAATGCTTGTGCACTGGAGGTGTTCGTACACTTCCCACCTCTAAGCCCAAGAGAATTGTTTGGATTTTTGACACTGTTTGGAGTTGCTTAGCAAACTCCAAGATAAGCTCAAAAGCCTTTTGGGAGATGGAGAGGTATAAAGATGCTTTGCAGCATTTTGCTAGTAAGGGAGAGAAGAAGGGACTTAACTTTCTCTTAAAGCAATTGTATGAAATTGATTTACAGAAAGAATTTGAAAGAAAATTAGTGTTTAGTTCTCAGTGACTCTACTAGAGGTCTCATCTGGCCAAGTCAGTAAATGCTCCACAATGCTTTGGAACACCCCAGTCACTTTTTGGGGACAGCTGTGTCATTACCAGAACCTAACTCTGCCTCTCTTGCAGTTATGTGTATTGCTGGTATTGGCTTGGTGGTGTTGTTCTTCAGTTGGTTGCTGTCTGTCTTCAGGTCCAAGTACCACGGCTACCCCTACAGGTACAGCTGCTCTGCTGCTTTGCTCACTGTTGCACTGTGTGTTGTGATACAGCCACAACACCACAGAGTCCATATCTAATTGGGTGGGAAATGCTCTTTTTAAAGTGTTCCACTTGTTTCTCAAAGCAGCACTGATGGCTGATATCATCACCAGAGATAACAGTATTTGGTGAAGATCATTTGTCAGTCTGCGCAAAGGAAAGATTGTGGAACTCTTCATGCCATTACCTATTATAAAATATTTATGTCTTTTTTTCCCCCTCTACTTTTCTCTTCCTCTGTATTTTTACATCTTGATTATTAATCCTTTTTTGTGATAACAAGGAGGATGGCTGATGCTTTAAAGCTGCCTAGCTTTTGGGATTGCCTCTGCAAATAAGCTAATACTGTTAATTGATATATATATGATTGGTGTAGATGTCTTAGATATGTTTACTAGCTTTTACACATTTTGAAGGAATAAATACATGTTGAAGGATCAGCTTTTAACCATTCAGCTTCTGCAAAGAATTTTATTTGTCTCTGGGGCCAATCCCATAGGCAAATACTACCCTCTCTCTTTGAGAAATCAGTTTTTATTTAAAAGTATCTAAATAGTAAAACTTTTTATTTCATGAAGACTTTTTCTCAAGACCAGAAGACAGCTGAACTTATTTCCTGTTTTGATAACTGGTCAGCTTTTATTCTGGTGTGTGCAGTGGTCTCAGGTACTCCTGTAGGGAAGATGTGGTTATCATAAAAGCTAAGTGGAATCTTGCACACCTTTGTCTCCTAGAAATTTAATAATGTTTGTGATTTTGTTCTTGCAGCTTCCTAATGAGTTAAAGGACTTCAGAGCCTGTAACATCAGGAAGGTGGTGACTCTGAAGTTGGGTGTAGTGGAACGAAGAGCTCAATGTGTGTGGTTGGTGCTACCTCTGCTTACACTGAATGAGATAGTGAAACACTGAACCAAAGACAACGTGTAGTGCCTTAAGTAAAACAAGCAATTTGCTCTGAAGAACACAGAGTATTAAGATGCAATCTCTTTTTCATAAGCTTTACATCTTCCTAAGCAACCCTACTTCTAGTGAAATTCAGAATTTAATGCTTAAAACTGCATTTCTATAGACTAACTAGAAACAGTACTTTATATTCAGTTGGATAATCTGTTTACCACGTTTCTTTTTCCCTTGAATATTTATCACTTTATTTCCTGTTTGTGCGTAGCAGGTGACAGCAGCTTCTCTGTTGTGCCTTTCCATGGTTGAAGAAATGTCTTTGTGTACCTGGAAATCTTTTCCTTCAGTCTGTGTGCAACCCCTTGGAGCATACTCCAGATTCCAGTGTGGAATATGCATATCCTCGAGCTTTATCTCATTTTTTGAGAAGAGTTCCTAACTGCTGTATGATGCAAGAGGTTGTTTTACACATGAAGGGGGAATTTTCAGCAGGTAGAACTGAGTTATTCAGTTACTCGTTAAAAACTTTCTTTGCCATATGCTGAAACTGCAGCATTTAAGTTGCAGGCTTAAAAATATTGTTATACTGCCAACACTTTCAAAAATACAACCCCAAAACTACAAAGGTGACTAGCTATGTGTAGCATGAATTAAAAGTTGCTAACTGGCTTTCAAGGTACTGCTTAGAGCCCTGACAAACCAACAGATGCCAGATTTCTGGTCCCTATAAAAGTTCTTGCATTCTCCACTTCTTTTCTCCAAGTTTTTATGCATGGGGAGGATATGGGAGCGGGCAGAGATGTGTACTCCCAGGATAAATGTTGTTCCTCCAGGACAGATTTGTTATCTCACAACTGAACGCATGTGCTGTTTGCTCTCTCCTTTTGTCCTCTCACCTCACAAAGATGCTTTGCCTTAAGAATTCTTGAGTGGAAGATGTTGTGCCTGAGCCCATGTGCTCAGAGGTGCAGTTCAGCACCTCTGAACTCTTTGCAGCCTGATTCAGTAATACTACCTTCCAGAGGCTATGGTTGCCTTGGAAGTTAGAAGTCAGAGGAAAATGTGATGAGACTTTTGTCTCCTGCCTCTGCTTCTCCCCTGTCTGAAGGGGCTATGGAATTTGGATGCTTTAGATTGACTCTTGGAAAGGACTATATCATTCAAAGTAGAATGTTATTCTTATGCAGTTTTGCTAAATTAACACACATCTCAAGTGCCTTAACTTCGCTAAATTAGTTGTTTGATGTTTCAACTTGTTGAGATGCATTTTTCTATGCCATACAGAATGATAAGCCTTAGTGGAATGGATAAATTGTGCCTGACTGGATTTTGGACAAGTTTCAATAAAATTTTTTAGTCTAATCCATGCTCCTGTGTCTTTTGAACTTTAACATAAACCAACCTCTTTTCTTTCACTGTTGCTTCAGAGTGTTAATAATAACCTGTGTGTATAGAGTAAATAACCTGAGTAGGGTTGAGTGGACTGAATTAGTAGCAGATGTGTGTTTATGTGGAAAATTACAGTCCAGAATGTCGACACTGAAGAGCTGCTCATGCAGCCAACTAATAGCATAATGATTGCATGTTTTTTGCTTGTCTTTGACAGCTGTCCTGTGGTGAAAATCTTGGGCTTCCTGGAGTCCTAGACAGATCAGCTAACAGTGTCGCTGGAGGTGGAATCTCGTTAGCAGTGCAGATTTGCCTGGAACAACTCAGTACTGCTGTACCTGTGGCTTATTTTTCTGCTCTCGGGAAACTTTTAGGTTGGTTGTGCTGCAGTCTTTAGCAGTGCAGGTGAAAGTGGCTTACACTCTCATTCCACGGAAGTAATGGGGTTTGTTAAACTTCCTGAATTGTTTCTAAATCTTCTGACAAGTTCATATTGTGCTTCTAAACACTGAGTCCTATATTGACTCAGTTTCAATAAGGTGCACATCATGCAGGTGGAGTTGTGTTGGCCTTCCACTGAGGGTGGTAAAGATGTTCAGAGTTTTGGATTTTCCTCTTTTTTTCCATGCTGATACATGAAATCAAAGTAATGCTTAGTTTTTTCAACGTCTTCTCTGCTCTCTAGGCTGAAACTGAAGTGCATGAAGGAGGGAAAAAGTGTGGTAGTGGAGCAGAAGATCGAGTGCTTGCAGGGACCAGTAGCAGGTTTAGAGAGGAGGAATTCAAGAGAGAATTCAAGAAATGTTTGACTCGTGCAGCAGTTGAGAGGTAATGGCCATATGTAATTGGTACCCAAATGACTCTTTGGGACATTGGCACTTGCAGCTCAACAACTAGTTAGCATAACACAGTCTGGACCAGCAGGACAAAGGTGGATGAGGCAATGCGTTCCCAAACTGGTATGGTAAAACTGGGAGTTGCTGAGGCCATGTCCTTTAGCAAGTGAGTCATCAAACAGCTCAGAAGTACCCTAAAAACTCACTGTCAGAGAACACTTGCAGTAATGGGAGGAAATTGCATATTCGGTAGCTGAAAATGGACTGTTTGGTTTTGTTAATGTGCCTGAGCTCAATGATTGCTGCTTTTTTCTGCTTTTTCAAGGAGCTGTGGTGTATTTAAGAGGTATTTTGAAATCATAGCTAGAAATAATTCAGGGAGTTCTCTGAGCTAAGTATAAAACAAGATAACAAATTTAATTTGATTAATCTATGTAATGGTTTGTGTTATGTACAATTTACTGGAAGCTCCTGTCGTCAAACCATTCTAGTGCTGAGCACAGAATGTGCTTCTTTTGAAGCACGGGCACAGGTTGTCCAGAGAAGCTGTGGCTGCCCCATCCCTGGAAGTGTTCAAGGCCAGATTGGATGGGGCTTGGAGCAATCTGGTCCAGTGGAAGGTGTCCCTGCCCATGGCAGGGGGTGGAACTGGATAAGCTTTAAGATCCTTTCCAACCCAAACCATTCCATGATTCTATGATCGTGATGCCTCATGATTATTCCTGCAGTTAAGCCTTTAACAGATGCTCCATGAGCATGTGCTCTTCAGGGGTGGAACTGCTGAGTCCTCCAGCAAGATGGAAGGTGTGCTCAGCTCTGCTCATACTTTGTTCTTGGTGCTCATGCAAATACCCTTAGCTAATCGCACGGTTGGTGGTGGCTCTGTGGCTGAGTGTACAGACACAGTCGTGGGAGTAGAAGATTCACAGCCCATCATGATGGGAAGGACAGGTTTAACCTTTTGGCAGGCAATGGGATCATCAGTGTCTGCAGAACACAATGGGATGATGGCTGGCTAGAGGCTTTAGGAGAAAGGTATAGACACTTTTACGGTCATAGCTATTGGATGTGTGACTAAATGTACAGCAAGGCTTGTCCTGAGCTCTGTTAGAAATGTGTCAGAGGGAGTACAGCAGGGATTTTTTGATTCCTAAGCTATATTCCTGACAAATCAAAGTAGTAGTTTTAGAAGTACTGAAGAAAGTCAATTGCTTAACTTTCTAAAGATTTGCAACCTGCAAAGAAAATCAGATGCCTGAATGACTTATGCTTGTTTGGATACGATGCCCATGACATGAGATTACGCCAAATCTTGTAGCCAAACCTTGTCTGGAGAAAAGAATGGTCTGTAATCTTCCTTCATGGTTTATTGGCAATGAAATCCACTTAAGGTGAAATAATTCTTACAGAGGGTTTGGCAAGGTATTGGCATTTGGTTCCTGTATTGGACTGTGATGTTTGCTGCTTTCTCATGTTGAAAAGGTATAATTCTCAACTACAAACGAGAGTGATTCCACACCATCACTTGGAACTCGATTGAGGGGAATGTAGTAACGGCAACACAAAGATGAAACCCAGGCCTTGAGTAAACATCATCTGTTTTCAGTGTCATCGTGCTTTGTGTCTGAGGAATGGAGAATGAGTTTCAGTGCACTTAACTTCTCCCATTTAACAGCTCAGATCTTGTCCATTCCTAAAAAATAATTTAAGCAGAGCAGTGTCTTATTGGTCTGGATTAATTGTGCTACTTTTATCACAGATAATGATCTGAGAAAGAGGTATATGTGGTTTGTATTTCTAGGTCAGGATCACATCAAGTTATTAAAATATTCTCTTGTCAATTGATAACTATACATGTCTTTCAACCATTTGCCTTAAAAGTAGGCTAATATGTACTTAAAAAAACTAATTACTATCATTATGAATAGAAATATTCAGTGCGATGAGACTTTATAGTAGCCCTTGGTTTGTCCTGCAAACTGAGCTCTGAATCGTTATTCTCCCAGGTCTGTTGGAGCAGGCAGAAGCATTAGAGTCCTGGGAAAAGGCATTCTGTGTGCTAAGGAAACTTAACTGGTGGAGGTTTGGGAGATGTGCAAAATGTTTCTCTACAGATGCATTTGCTATCTGTCCATACACACTTTTCCGTGTGCTGCTGCAGTTTGGGTTTTGACAACCTCATGGTAATGTCAGGGTTTGTGTTCTGCAGTAATTGCTGGGAGACGGGAACATTTCCATTTCTGCTTGAGCTCGACCTCTTCTCACAGTAGGATTCCTTTCTCATGTGCTACTTCACATATAAGTTACGGATTGGAGGCAATTAAATTTGCTTTTTTTAAACTGCTTTCAAATCCCTTTTTCCACCTCTCAAGGAAGTAGTAAAAGAATAAAATATAACAGGGTAATAGTAATAAATCTCTTGTCGTTATTCTAAATCAGCTGGATATTAACCCCTAATGCTGACTAAATCCCTGGAGGAGGAAAAGGAATGTTTTGTGCTCTTACTTTAATCACACAGGTGGAATTCTAGTGCAGAGCTAAGATTAGGTAATGCTTCCGGTTCCCTTCATCTGACTGTGGCAAAAATGGCTTTTTGCAATTTCTATGGAGTTTGTAGCTGTCAATTAACACAGATGTGGGTTTTTTCTTCTAAAATTGAGTAGAATGCAGGCAAAGTTTGGGTTTCTACAGCTGTGACATTTGCCCTGAGACAGATCTGTTAACAAAGCTGCTGTTAAACCTGTGTTTGCTGTACCTAAATTCAGCAAATGAAAGATGCAATGCTTGGGGAAAGTGTTACATTCTAGAGCAAATTGTGTTTAAACCGGTTTATAGGATTTCCCTGGGATGTGCTGGAGTGTGAAAGTGCTATTGATTCTGTTATCATTGTCTCCTAGAATGAAATGGGTATTAAGGATGATTTGCTTGGATGTTTTCTCATATTTCATACACTGCTTCATGAAATCAGATGCATCGCCACATTTTGGTTTTTCTTTAGTTTTTGCAGGAAAATATATTAATTTTCAAAGCTGATTTTGTTTGTTTTATAATAAGGAATAATACTTATCACCTGTTTCAGATTCTGTGTGGCACTGGGCTTGGTTTTGGTGGTCTGGTCTGGTCATGTCATGTCCCTGCATGATGGAAGTTCACACAGCCAGAGGCATTCAGTCACCTTCTCATGAAATCCTGTGACTCTTTTCCCTTGGAATAGGGCTGTATTCCAATCCTCCTCCTTTCATACACATTTTAACACCTGACAGGAGTGTAGAAGCTGCTAGTACCAGCAGGGAAAATTGTCTTGGCATGCTTAGGCAAAGCTGCCAACAATGGGTTTCCTCACCTAAAGAGTTTTCTGTTTAGAGAGTCTCAGCCAAGCTGTGCTGAAGCTACAGGGCTCAGGGTCACTTGGGGCTGCTCAGCACGTTCAGCCTCAGGAGGGCTCAGTGTCACTTATGTTATCCCTGTCTTGCTGTCTCTGTATTCTGTGCTTGTGAAACTCTCTTCCCAAGCTTTGCTTCTGGGCTCCTGTCCTGTTATGCTTGGAGTCTGGTGGCTGTTCCCCATGGAGGTGAGTCACTGTGGTGATCCTCTCGGAGGAGAAGGGCCACTTTGGTGATTCCTGTAGAAAAGGAGTATCATTCTGGTGATCCCCAGAGAGGAGCAGGGACCTTTGGTGGTCCTGTTGGAGGAGGAGGGTTGTTGTGGTGATTTGCATGATGACAGAGGATTGTTCTGGTGATCCCTACAGGGGCTGAGGGTCTTTCTGGTGGTGTTAGTAGAGTTTTGGCAAACTCTCAGTGTTACTCTTCCGAAGGGTGATTTATTTAAACACCATGATTAACTTGATGTGATTGAATCCAAGTTGCAGAGTTGCCCAATGCTGTAGTCCTGCGATGAAGTGGCAGCTGGGGCTGGTGTGCCACCTGGTCCCATCCCCAGGATGGGAGTGACCATATCACTCTTTACAACTCCCTGACAGGAGGTTGTAGCCCGGTGAGGATCAGTCTCTTCTTACGGGCACCTAGTGGCAGGAGGAGCAGGCATAGCCTCAAGCTGCACCAGAAGTTCAGGTTGGATGTTAGGAAGAATACCTTATAGGGTGGTTAGACATTGGAACAGGCTGCCCAGGGAGGTGGTGGAGTCTCTGTCCTTGGAGGTGTTTAAGGAGAGACTGGATGTGGCACTTAGTGCCATGGTCTGGTTGACACAGTGTGTTGGATCATGGCTTGGCCTCGATGATCTCAGGGGTCTTTTCCAACCCGATGGGTTCTGTGGCTCAGTCTGCTGTCCCACAGCTCCACCCGGGCCGTGTCCACACGGGGTCCCAGCGCCGCGGCCGCAGCGCGAGCTGGAGCCCCCTGCCGGGCGGAGGCGTCAATGCACCTCGTTGTGAAATGATGTCACACGCCCGGGTGGTGACGCCAA